AGAGGTGACCCACATGGCACAGCAGACCGCTCCTATCTCTCCTGCTGCTCCCCTCAGCTGTGTACTTTGTCATTTCCTGTTCTGCTCCCCGCTCTGTCCCTGGTGAATCCTCTCACTGCCCCTGCACCTCTGGCCTGTACCTGAGTTCTGTGTGCATAAATAAATAAGTAACCCTACTCCCAAGGCCTTTCCCTCCTCCAGGATAGAGGGGGGATATGTGGGTGCACAACCCTATGGGACAGACACTGTTTGAGGCCCACCTTGTGCCCTGGCACCAGCTCCTTCCAAGACTTCTCAATGGCCAGTCTGCTCCAATCGCCTTCTCCGATCTCCCAGCGCTTCCGGTCCTCGGGGGGCAGCCGCGGCAATCCAAACATGCTGAATATATGCAGCCTTTTCTCCAGCTGAGGAACATTGGGGAAATCCTGGGGATCCAAAAGGAGGATCATCCTGGGGATCCAGCCTACCTAGCCCAAGGTAGAGTTGCGTGGGAAAACATATGTATGTGTGTGTATGTGTGTGTGTGTGGGGGGAACTGGAGGTGTGAACAGCACTGAATGGGAGTGAGGACTGGGGACAGGGATCACCTGGCCCTGGGATTACAGGAGACAGGGCCTTGTGGGAACACGGACAGGGTCACCTAGGTCTGCAGAAAGGCCCCTGGGTGGAGGTTGGGCTCCGTCACCAGAGAGCATTCCTTCCAGAGGTCTGAGACAGAACCCTTCAGGGGAAACTTGGGTGGAGACAGGACTTAGGGAACCAGCAGTCTTAAGGCAACATTTTGACGATTGCCCAGAAAGCGGACATTTTAATGAGGCAGCATGACTAAGAGACAGATCCCTGAGGGGTCTCCAGATAGAGCCAAATCCCGTTATTGGGGAGCTGCCTGCGTGCTCAGTTCTGATGTCTGTGGAGGACATCACAGTCTGGACTGTGAGCATGGGAGCAGGAGGAAGGCACCCCTTACCTTGACTTTGGGGGAGTGAGGTGGGCCATACCGCTTCTCAGACTCTACCTCCCAGGACCCCACGGGAGACGGGGAGCGGGAATGGCTAGAACTCTTGGTCCAGTTCTGCAAGTGCAGGCGACTGGGATCCTGGGGGAGGAGCAGAGGAATCCTGGGGGCTGCTTCCCTTGCCCGTGCCAGCGGGCTCAGGCTTGGCAGAGCATGGCATGTAGCCTGCATGCTGGGCTGGCTCCTTCTCCCCAGACCAGTTTGGGGCGAGCCACTCCTGCCCTGAGTCACAACGGCTGCTGCCAGGGAGGCTGGGCCGAGCCAAGTCGGGCAGGAACATGCCAACCTGGCTGCCCCAGTGGGCCCAAGGCAGAATCAAGGGCCTCCTCAGGAGCGGGAACACAAGCACATACATGCCTGGACTCTGGTGTGTGAGGCCCAGTGCCCGGCCCCTCCCACGCCAGCTGTCTGTACCCAGGCGTGTGGCAAATAGGGACAGCGCACAGGACACACTGCCTTTGGGGGTCCCTCACAGCCTCCCTGGTCTGTGACTAGACCCCTGAGCACATGGGGGTGAGGGCCCACGTGTGTCTGGCCTCCTGCCCCGGGGCACGCAGCCTGGTCCCATACACTTGGAGCGGCTGCCTTTCCGTGCGAGCGGTTGAAGTTGTGGCCACGAGTCTCTTCCCCAACAGGCCCAGTCACATTCTCGGATCTGCCTGTGGCCTGGTTTACCCCACGTACTTCCTAGTCTCCCTGCCCACCCTCAGCCTGGGAGAATCCCCAGTTGTCCTCCAGTGAGGCCAGGCACACCTCGAGCCGGAAGTAGAGCTGTTTTCTAGTTGGAGCGAAGCCTGGAGGGAAAGACCATGGCTCCCACACCCCTTTCCTTGGTCAGCACTGGAGATGGGCCAGAAGGGCGAGGTGGGTGGAGTTGTGACAGGTCCCTGCACCCCCTGCACTGGTAGCGTGGGGACACCCCGAAACTTTGGTCTTCTTCTGGCCCTGACTCAGAGGGGGGCAGGTCTCAGGAACCCACAGACTCCTCCCAAGCAGTGTGGGTGGTGTCAAGCCCAGGGCTTAGTGACCTTCCCCCAGCGCTCTGCCTAAGACCTGTCTAACAGCACCGGCTCTGAGGACCTGGGGCCAGCTACCTTGCCTGCCCCAGCAGTCTGGAACAGGTGTGGCCTCCTGGGAGCCCAGCACTGCCCGCCACTCCCTCACAACGCAGGACAAAAGGCAGGTATGAAGAGGGCAGGTGAACCTGCAAGCCCCGGACACTTGCACACTGAGAGTCCTCCCTCCTGCCCAACCCAGGTCACCTGCAGGGTACAGTCCACACTCACCAGCTTAGCGCCTCCTCTGGGGGTGAGAGTGTTAGTGTGTGCCTGGGGTCTGCCCCCATAGGCCTCAATGCGGGAGGCCACCAGTCCTTGGGGGAAGCCCCCACCTGGAGAGTCAGAGAGCCTCATCCCTTCTCTCCTGGGTCACCCCCAAAAGGTCATTGTTCCAATGTCCAGGAGAAAGGGGTCTCCTGAGCCTGCAAAGAGAAAATAAGGAATGGAGAGGCCAGTCTTGAACTCTGGGTGTCACCAGTAGGGAGGACAAGACTGTGGAGTGGGAATAGGGAAGTGCTGAGGTCTGTTATGTGTTGGGGAGCACAACAGCCCATGGTGGTGTGAGGTATGTGGAGGTAGACCTACTCCCTCACATGTGGGCACACTTGGGGTATAGGCACCCACTCTAGCCTGACAGGATGTTGGATGGAGCCATAAGCTGAAAGCGACGGTCAGACAGGACCTTGTCTTTCCAGATGTTCCCAGACAGAGGGATTCCCCTTTGGTTAGCTGCACCCTCCTCTTCCCATACAGAGGCCGGGAAATCTGCAGGGAGGGGGCGGGAGGGTGGTGGTGGTGAGTGCCGCACCTGTCATCTGTTTTGTATCCATTTAAATAACAGGCAAAAAAAAAAAATCAAACGAAGAATAAGATTTCAAACACATGAAAATTGTATGAATTATACGAAATTCAAACTTCGGTGTCCATCAAGTTTTACTGGACACAGGCAGATGCACTGCTTTGCCAATTGACTGCCATCCTGCCAGTTGTGCAGAGACCTCATAGGCTTCAAAGTCTGCAATATTTCCTATCTGAGCCTTTACTGAAGAGTGTGCCCACCCCCTGCCTGGACCCCCTTGGCCACTCACAAGGGGGTGAGTGAACTGAGGATGGCTATCAGGCCACTGGCCTTAGACAAGAGCTGAGCACAAGCAGGTCCCCTTTCTTGGACTGTGCTTGGTCTTCCCCAGCCTCTGGGAACACCTCCACCGACTGGGAGCCAAACGTGGGGCTCCCTGCCTTCCCCCTAAACCTGATAAAGGACCCACCCACGGAGGGACAAAGCCCAGAGAGCAGAGGCTTCTAAGCAGGTGCAGGTCTCCAGGCGGACTGAGGTCCCCGCTCCACCCCCTCACCTTTCCGCTGCCTTGTGGGCAGGGGAGGAAAACGTTCGTTGTCCTAAACACCCTGTCCCCTCGCTCCCCCCCCCCCAATAATCCTTCCTCCGGCTCTTTCCCCCTCTTCCTGCTCTAGGTTTTCTTCTAGCGTTGACCGCGGCGTCCCATCTCCCGCAGCGACCTCAGCCCCTGTCGCCCGCCCTGTCGGTCCGGCCCGCCTGCCGCTCACCTGTGCCGGCAAGTGTCCCGGGCTCCGCAGCCAGCGCGGCGGTCCCCGCCCGCGGGGCTCCCGGTAGCCGACGGCTCCCCCAGCGATGTCAGCCCCACTGCCCCGCCTGGGTCTGGGATCCAGCGGCCCGGGGCCCCGGACAGCGCTGGGCCCGGTCGGGAGGGACCGCGGCGGGAGAGGGGCGGGGACCAGGGCTGGCACCGCCCTCCCACCGCGCGCCCCGGACCGCCGCGCAGCTAGGGCGCCCGGGGCCCTGGGACCTCGGGACGCGACGCCACCCTTCTCCGGCCAGGAGCGCTCAGTTCTCTGTACCCCCCAGTGCCGCCTCTTCCCTTCTCGTGTGAACTAACCTCTCACCGACCTGGATGCCAGGGCTGGAGCCGGGCGTCACTCGTGCGTCCTGCACCCCTGGCCAGACCCTCGCGCGGCGCCAGAGTGATGAGGCATAAATGCGATGCCAGGCGCCGCTGGAGGAGGCGCCGCCAGGGTGACGACCCAGTGATCTGCGGCAGGCGCCCACCTCGCTGTCCGAGCGCACGTCGTGGCTAGCTGCCCGCCCCTCCCCGCGCCTCGTCTTCCCTCTTTTACCAGGCCGGGGAACTGGTCTGTTAGCAGAAGGCCACAGGGGGTCCGGGGACCCAGGGGCGCACGCTGACCTCAGGTGGTGGAGTCCAAAGTATAGCCCTTATCTCTCACTGGACTGCCCTGGCCATCGGATGGCGGCTATCTCTGAGCTTGGACCTTGCTCCAGGGATGGCACCTGGTGCCACGCAGAGGCTTGGCCCGCTGCTCGCATGACTTGAGGCTGGGGTGGTGGGTATGGGAAGGGGGCACCCGCAGGCTCCACTGGCAAGCAACGGTACTCCAGGCGAGCCCAGGCTAGTCCCAGCACCTCCGGGCTGTTGGGCTGTTTAGGGAAGGCTACTTGCTGGACTGGACGCCTTAGAAAGCACCACGTTTTCCCATCTGCAAGTCTGGGCATCTCACCCGACAGACGCCTGGGGGTTGGAAATGGGTTGGAAATGGGACCGGTTCACGGCTGTGGGGCCAAGCCACAGACCCTGTCGTGGGGGCAGGGCAGAGCTGAGCCCCACCGTTGCCCTCCTGGGGTCTTCCTCCTGCAGTGATGACCTGTGTTTAAGAAGCCCTTTGGAAAGCCAAATCTCTGTATCATGGTGGGACGGTCCCCATTCTCCTTTCCTTTCTAGCTCTAAACACAAGTGAGCACGATGGTTTAGTCCTGGCTCTGACTCCAGTCTCTCTGTTTTGTTTAGGAGAGGAATCTTTACCATTTGAGGGTTCTCGTTTTTTTTGCCTGCCTCCCCGTTTCCTTCCATGGTCTCTTTTCCCGAGCTCATTGCTCTGTGATGACGGCGTTGATCCAGAAGAGTTATTTGTACCCGCCCTCTCAGAATCCCATCTGCCTCCAGGTGACTGGGAGCCACTTTAGATTCCTAAAGCTGCTCTCTCCCTATTCACAGCGTGGGAGAAGTGGGAGAGGAGAGGTGGAGAGAAAGATCCAGGCCACAAGAGTAACCTCCAGGCAAAGGGAGCTCGTGAGCAGGTGACGATTACTGGCCTCTTTCAATGACACCCAGAGAGAGCTGGTGCCGGCCCTAGCTGCTTCTCCCAGCATCTCCCAGAGGAGGTGTCGGGGTGTGGGTGGGGGGAGTAGGAAGGAAATTAAAACGGAGAGGACACAGACAAGCCTGAACTTAGAGCGCCCTAGGGTGAGCCAGACCGACAGGCCCAGTGGAGCTGGGGAGAGTTAACCCTTTCACTTCCCTCAAGGCGGAGATTCAATCTCCACCCTCCACTGCCCTAGGGCCAATGTTCAGCCTCTTGGGAGGAGAAGTTCCCAGGGAAAGCTGGAGTCTAAAGGCTGAGGTGTGATTGCAGCCTGCAGGCTGGGAGGTGGGGACTCCTGTGCGCTATTTGTTCTCTTCTGGCCTAGATAGAGCACCCCCCACCCCGCCCACCCCCCATGGCCCCATTTGTCCCAGCCCCTCCGTGTTATGGAGGGAAGGTGCCTGCAACACATAGGCCCAGCTCTGGTAGCTGAATGAAGGTAAAGCCAGGAGTGAGTAGACTGGGGTGTGTGTGGCCCTAGGGAACTCCTGGTCTGGTTGAGGAACTCCTGGCCCTACTGGGGAACTTCTGAGCTCCAGGCCAGAGAGATGAACCTGGACACTAGTCTTTCTTCCTGACCAGTTCAGTTTCATTAGTCTCTAGCTTGAACCCTGTCTCTCCTGCGTGCCTGTTTCTCCTCTAGTGCTGAGGCTCCTCAGCTCCACCCCACAACCAGAGAATGTGTCTGTGCAAGATTGGAACTCTGCAGATCCAAATGATAAGGCGTGAGAGGACTTTCTAGAATTGGCATTGGGCGCCTCGCCTCAGTTCCTTCTTCCCCCCTCACCCGGCAGGTGGGTCAGGGAGACTCACTGGAGCCCTGAGCCCTGTCAACCATTCCCTCAAGGCCAGAGGTGGGGCCATCTGGGTTAATGAGGTCTAGCAGGTACTGGCGGCAGGAGGCAGCTAATGTAAGTTGTGTCCTTATTGCCCCAGAGTCAGGGAGAGGGCAGGAGGCCAGGGCTGGAGCTGGGAGGCACAAGTCACATGAGGCAAAGAAAATCATGCAAGGAGACCAGGTCACCCACACAGCTGCCAGTGCCTTAGCCCAGAACTCACACCCTTTCTCCCTTTCCTTTTTTTCCTCCTCCTCCCTTCCTCTTCCCCTACTTATTGGAAATCAGTGTTCCTCTGTGCTAAGCACTGGAGTCTACAGAAGAGATATATCTCTTGTATGAGCAACAGTCCTATCCCTAGTAGAGGAGGGAATCCTGGACTTCGGGACATTGCAGCCTGGGGGTGAACAGAACACCCATCTACAAATTCTGCATGAAGCAACCCTGAGGGAGCACTTTGGAGGGACTAATAACTATCTAAGGGACCCAAGGAAGGCTTCATAGAGGAGGTGAGCTTTGTGCTGGGATTTTAACGCTGGGTAGGAGTTTGCTGGACAGAGGAGGAAAGTGACATTTTAGAGGAGGGAATAGTATGAACAAAGACAGAGATATGCATTAACTTTATTATTATTATTATTATTATTATTTTGTAAAAATAAGGAACAGCTCATAGCACCCTTGAGCAGGGTCAATCCTAACCTCTGTATTGTTCCAGTTTTAGGATAGGAGCTGCTGAAGCCAACACACAGAGACGTGCATGTGGGGAAAAGCTAGGCTTTCCCAAAGGCCTCCTGAGAGCCTGTCCTGATGGCCACCGAGGGACTTTCCCCCCCGGCACGCATGTTGAGAGTGACACACATCACTCCTGAGACTCCCCTACTCCCCTCCACAGAACTGGCCCCATTCTCAGAACCTGTCTTGGCTTTCTGAAACTGCACCTTGGCACAGCTCTGCCCCGAGCTGGCATAACATCCTCGGCCCCTTGCCCTGTCCTCCCATCTCCACTTCCACCTCCTTCAAGGTCCTTTGCAAGGGTCTCTTCCCTCAGAAAACTTTTCCTGATCATCTCCTAACCTGGGTGATCACTCCCCTCCCTGCTTCCAGCATAAGAACAAGGCGCTACTCTTAAGTGCGCCTGGATTGCTGTTTGTGGGTCTGTGGGCATCGGCACTGGGCAGCAGGCTCCTCTCGGAGCTTACCTGAAGGGGTTTAGGGAATTGCGCTGTGTGGACTTCCAGGAAGACTGGGCTAAGGTCAACGTGGAGGGAGACTTCCCTACTCACTCTCTATTGTTATGCTGAAGGTCTGAAGGACGTTAAGGAC